GGCAAGAAGATGGCAAGTTTGAGCCCAGCCTAAGCAACTCAGTGAAACCCTGTCTCAAAACAGTTAAAGATCTAGAGACATAGTTCAGTGGAAGAGCGCTTCTCTGGCACGCAGGAGGTCATGTTTCCAAAACCCGCACCACAAGCACAAATTACAACTGTTTAACTGAGCACGGAAATAATAATTGCAACACCTGCCTTCCATGTAGCTTCAAAGAGCAGGGCCTGCTATACATGCTCGCTGCATGGTGAGTTCCTGCACACCTCATTTTGCTAAGGACTTTGCAGGGTCCTCACGGGAGCCTCTGCTGCTACCGTCCTCATTTCTCTGATGTTTGCATTTGGCTATGGTGTTAGTTCCAACACTCTCTGCTCAAGAAACGAAGAGTCAGCCCTCTGAGTTTCCACAGTCAAAAAGTGGGTCTGAAACTCTCGCCCTAGGTCGGTCAAAGTTTGAAGCTTGAAGCTGTATTGCCAATCCATATATTTAGAAGAGTTTTGTGTTTCCCAGTACAGAGGATCAAGCCTTTGCCTTCCAACAGGTTATACCACACACACACACACACACACACACACACACACACACATTCACACATATAAGCATATACACTCACACTGCACAAGAACATACCGCACACACACACACTCATATATACATACACACACAGAGTCATGTGTGGTTGCACTGTAGAAAGGCTAGGGTCTAATTAATCTTTTCAGGACTTGGCTAGGACTTCCCAGAACCACAGAGGTGGCCTGGACCAGTCTTGGAGATGGTGTTGGCACTTAGGAGCCACTTCCAGATCTTTTATTAGGAAATCCTGAAAGGCCCCCTGGCTGCATGACTCCTAGAGGCTATGAAATGAAGTAGGCATGAGGCCAAGGGAGAAGGATGAGTTCCTGAGACTGCACAACATAATCGTCCAGTGTTATGAACCTCTTCAAGGACTGAGGAATGTTCTACTCAATGGACTTTCAGTGAACTTCACGCTTTCCTTCCACTTCCATCCAGGATAGCAATGGCTAGAGACTTTCTCCAGTGCACATGAGGCACAAACTTCCATGACTAGCCATTTTCTTTTATGAATAGTAGTGTATACTCCTTCGGATACACTAACTGGTCATCTCCTGCCCTCCTAAGTATCTTTTTGGACTACATGAAGAAGTGAAGCACTAGCTAAGAGTGTGGGACATGAGTTTAATTCCAGCACTTGAGAGGCAGAAGAAGGAAGATCTCTGTGAGTTCAAGACCAGCCTGCTCAACATAGAAAGTTCCAGGGCATCCAGGGAGACAAAGTGAGACCCTGTCTCAAAAACAAAACAAAAAGCACTAAAGTTCCTGCTATTAGTCATGGTCAAGGAGGAAACAAAGGAAAGAAAATTAGATTCAGGGATCTCATTCTGAAAAGAAAGGGGAAGATATAGAAATGATAGGATAAAAGGATAGATTACTGAATCTACTTTCAAACTAAAAAAAAAAACTAGTCTCAAATTTTTACATTTGTGTGGATTTTTGTATATTGATACAAACTAAGGTTATTCTGTCATACTGTGTATATGTTTCTACTCTTGTTTAAGATATTTTTGTATATTGGTAAAAATTTAAGGTTATTTTTGTTACACTGTATCTTATGTTTCTATTTCTTGCTTCAGGCATTGTACTTACACAGCTCATTTAAAAATGTAGCATTCTAGTCCTTGAAAGCTATTTAGGATAATAAGAAAATGCAGGTTAGTAGTTAGTCATCTATAACAAACAAACTTACGTTAGACATGTTTTCAAGATCAATCAGAGACATGTTTTAAATAGATAGATGGTCTTCAAACACTTCAGAGTCCTACAGAATATAGCATTTTAATGTTTTAATAACATAAGGCTTTTTTCATGACAGTAAGGCACATCTGCTCATGGCAGCACCAATTTACTTCAAAAAGAGAATGATGGGCATTGACAAACCCCCATATGGAGTTTGCATTCATTTATGGCAAAGTTAGCTACTGGGCAAGAAACTGCCCTTGCCTCAACTGTTGACAGTATGCTGTCCAAACTGAACAAGAAGGACACAAAAGACGGCAATTGCTGAACTGAAAAGATAGGCTAGGCCTTCAAAGTTCCTGCCTCACAGAAACATCTGCTAGATATGTTAGGCCTGTAGGCTGAAGATGGATGCCCCAGCATTACAGAGGAACCTTGGGGTGACTGTCTAGGCAGCCAGATGTCTCTGTTATTCCTTAGTCTTGAAAGTTGCTTGTTCTACACTTCCTGTTTACATAGGTAATATTACATCTTTCTCGGGTTTCTGATGCAGTTGAAGATTAGATAATTATACTTACAGTTTTCCTTGGTTATGATAGAAAGTAAATTAAGTACAAAACTTTGAACTCATCAAGACAGATGGATAAATTTCTTCAACTTTTACAAATACAAATGGATTGGACATTGTGAATGTAACTCTTACTTGATAATCTTTCTTATTGTATATAATTTTGCTGTATTAGAGTTAAAGCATTTCCTTTTCATTTAGACTTAAAAGGGGAAATGTTGTGGGATATTTGTACACTGTATGAAAACACATTGCTGTGATTGGTGCAATAAAAAGCTGAAAGGCCAATAGCTAGGAAGGAGGTAGAGGCGGAACTTCCAGAGACAGAGAGGACTCTGGGAGAAAGAAAGGCAGAGTCACCAATCAGATGAGGAAGAAGCAGCATGGGCAGTATGGAGAGATGAGGTGGCAAGTCTCGCAACAGAACATAGGTTAAAATAAATGGGTTAAATTATAAGAACTAAGTGAGACAAGCCTAAGTTAAAGCAAAGCTTCCATAATTAATCCGAATTCTCCGTGTTTGAGCAGGAAGCCCCGAGGAGAAAGCACAATCCCCAGGAAAATCTAGTTCATCTGAAACTTGTCTCCTTCTTGAGCACCCAAAATAAAAACAGAATAAGGAAAAATAGCTCACTGGCTGAAATAGGAAGACAGTTGCCACATATCAGTCTTTACAGCATCCAGACACTGTCGGAAGAGATGCTGAAACAGACCCTCCCTCTAGGGATGTGCTTTTCCATCACCAGCAGCACGAGACCTCTTACACCACACTCTATGCTAGATACCAAAAGAAAACATTCTAAAACCCCATCCTCCTCAGGAAAGACATTGTCACTGAAGGAATAGTTCCAATAGTCTCACATATTCGTGTTGAAGACACAGTGATATAATTCACAGGGTGGTGCTCGGCATGGTGGAGCAAACCTGTCATTCTGGCATTCTAGGGGTGGAGTCAGGAGAATGAGGAGTCTGAGCTAGCCTCGGCTATGAGACACTGTCTCATGAAAGTGATAGAAACGATGATGCATGTGAATGTCTATGCTGAAGAGTCAGGCCGGGTCAGAGACTGCAGGGTGTGAATGTCGCTGGGGCCACTGATGTCTGTGACAATGGGCAGGGAGGGTGTTTAATTTCTTAAGTGTGGGGGATGGGGTTGCATCTGCTTTCAGCTCCCATATTTTCCATATTGAGCTGAGGTGAAATTTTAAATAGAAATTTTGGTGCAAAATTCCTATTTTGTTTCAAGTTCTCAGAAATATGACATATGATACCTTCATACAGTATCTGACTTGCACTACATTACATATAATAAGATGTATGTTTCATGAATACACAAAAGACTATATAAATTTATAGCTGTGCCTTATGTACACTGCAGTGCATATTTGAATTGATCTAGTAGATTACATCTAAATCATTATTTATGTGTAGCTACTGTTTTTGATTCACCCTGGCCTCTTAGAACAAATTTGAAATGACAGTATTGGAGCCCAAACCACAAATCAGACTGAAGATTTTTTGGAAATGGCAGATAAGTTTACGGAAGGCTTCACAGGGAAACATTTGCATGCACCTGGGTCACAATAACCTTAGGTCAGGTGACTGGAAAGCTGGAGGGGGTGGGTCTGTCTCCTGCCCGGGTGCTGGTGGCTTTGCACTGGATCAGCAGGAAACAATGCGAGTCACTTGGAACCAGCACTTTCCTTTCCAGAATTAAGAAAGTGAGTCCTATCCTATTGTAGCCAGCCACAAAAGTACGATTACATCTGTGGATAGCTCTGCTTGCCTTAGGTGGACTTTAGGTAGTGAGTGGAGTTCTTGGGAATCTGTGGGCGCCTCTACTCTGCATGGGGTGGGTGGATCGCCAGAAGGAAAGGCTTAGGGGAAGTGAGGGAAGCTGTCCAAAGGAAACTAAGCCATGCCCTCCAGCGCATTCCTCAATCTCCTGAAGAGCTAATGCCACTAGCACCCTTTATTGATTGCACTGCAGACACACACCTATGTAACACACATTGATTTACTCAGTTCCCTAACAACCCTCTCTGAAGCATCTAGGAATCTGGTAGAGAAATTCTGCAAACAGTACTGGACTTTCCTGCCTAACTTAAGACCCACGGTAAGAAGGTCACAGCCTCCCTTATTGGTGCATTCTATACTAGTCTCAAGTCCTCTTCTTCTTTAGTCGCTCAAAAAGGCAACTTTCGTCCAACAGTAGTCCAGCTCAGGCTGCGTAAACCTGTCTCCCGGGATGCTGGAAAAATCGCGCTCTCCACTAGGCTTGGCAGGCGCGGGCGGCCTTCCGGGCTGTCCTCTGGGACCTTGCCCGCCCTGCGTGGCGATTGTGCAAGCGCAGCTTCGGGCAGCTGCAAGGCCAGCTGCAGCCTGCAGGAGGGCAGGGAGGAGCGCTCGCAACGCACTCGCTGAACCCTAGGCTCGACGCGCCTTGCCCGGGTTATCTCCGGGGTGGAGTCCACGGTGCGCAGCGCACCGGTCACCCTAGGCCTTGGCGCCCTCATTCACCTTGCTGACTCCATCCTCTTCTCACTCCCGCCCCCCACTCCCCGCGTCCCTCCCAGCTTTGCCAGCAGGTCCCCCTCCGCCCTACTCAGCATGCTCATTGGCCATCGCGGCATGCCCTGTATCCATAAATACGAGGTCCCTGAGTCTGGGAGCTTGAGGAGGCACACCGAGGTGCATCCGACCTGGCGGCGTCCCTTCTACCCTCCTTGACATCCTGTGGCTTCAGATCGGAGAAGTCAAATTTGGAGACCCACAGAGGACTCTACTCAAAACTACCAAACCCCGGCTGCTCTTCTCCAGCCCCTGTGGCCAGCTCAGGGCAGGCACCTGTGCCCTAAGCCACTGAACCTTGCAGCATCCCTGGGCATCTGCCTCCTGCTCTATACCACTCCACCACACCCGCGGGTTCAGTTTGCCTCTCTTCCCAAACCGCCAAGACTTCAGAACCCAACACCACCTCCAAAACACTTTACCCCTTCCAGTGCCTGCTCCTCCTCGTGACTCAAGTGTCTCCTGCTACTATGAGCTGTCCCATTGACAAAAGGCGTTCTCTGATCGCCTTCCTGAGCCGGCTGCGGGACCTTGGGCAGCCCCCTAGAGGGGTGACATCCAAGGCGTACGCTTCCCGCGAGCCAAAAGAGGTGCCCCTCTGCCCGCTGGTGACAGGTGGTGAGAGTCGGGACGCCACCTCCCTGCCTGGACCAACCAACTGGCCACTGCTAGGCAATCTACTGGAGATTCTTTGGAAAGGCGGCCTGAAGAAACAGCATGACACTCTGGTAAATAACTTGTCACTCCCCTCTTCCCTATTCCTTCCTGTCGGAGTGGCCAGGCGAGGGGAAAGGGGAAGGGAGCTCAGGCAGCCCAGCAGTGGCTCAAGGAAAAAGCTCCCCCAGCACCAAAGGGTGCGTGCTGATGGCATTAGGCCCGCCCCTCTGCAGGTTGAGTACCACAAGAAGTACGGCCAGATTTTCCGGATGAAGCTGGGCTCCTTTGACTCGGTGCACCTGGGCTCGCCGAGCCTGCTAGAAGCTCTATACCGGACGGAGAGCGCGCATCCCCAAAGACTGGAGATCAAACCCTGGAAAGCCTATCGGGACCACCGCAACGAGGGCTACGGGCTTCTGATCCTGTGAGTGTCCTCCGCGGGGTGGAGGCGGTGGGGGCCAGGACATGCGGGGCAGTAGGGAAGGGGGTAGTTAGAGTTTCCTAGGGTTGGATTTTTCTTACGCAGAACGAATACAAAAGCCCCTGCTCCGTTGAACGCCTGTGCAATCCTCAAATTATAGTGTAGAAGTGGATCGCCCCCCCCCCCAAGAGCCTTACAGTGAGGGGATTTACACATGCCTGCATCCCCACCAGGACATACCTAACGCTCCAATCTCTTTTAATTTAGCTTCGTGTTCCTGGTATCAATATGGGCAAGATTTAACCATAATGTCAAATCAAGTGTTTTAACATTTATTCGTCAATTTCATACGTGTATATAATGTATATAATATATATGTATATATATATATACGTATATAATTTCTAGTCGCTTTCATTATGCGTCTTCTCTTCGATCCCCCTCTCACTCCCGCGAGGATTCTCCCCATCCCAACAACTCCCCATCCTAATTTTATGTCGCTTTTGTAGGTGTTCATGATTCCCTGAGGTTGCTTGCACGAGCATGGGTGGGGTTATTTAGCGCCCTGTCAACTTGGTCGGAGCCTACACTACTGAAGAAAAATGACTATCCCTTCCCCATCAACCATTAACAGCCATCAGCTCCCCCAGGGAGCAGAGGGACTCTGGAAGCCCCTCTTGGGTCCCTAATGGACAGCCGCGCATATTCAAAGCGTGCTAAAGTTCCAGAGAATTTCCCAGGCGACCTGCAGGGTTAGCTTACTACCGGTGCTCGGTGAATCGCTGCGCTGCTTCTTTCCGGGCGCCCTAAACGCAATCTGTCTCCGCAGGGAAGGAAGAGATTGGCAGAGGATCCGCAGCGCCTTCCAAAAGAAACTGATGAAGCCGGTGGAGATCATGAAACTGGACAATAAAATCAATGAGGTGTGTGCGTGTACTGGGTCAGCTTTCCCTGGGCTCTCCAGGACAGAGAGCTGCTGATTAGTCTTTGGGTCTCAACCTTTGAGGGGCCTTTGCATGCAGAATAGGCGCACCGAGGCGAGACTGAGGGTACCCAGTGGGAAGCGCTCCTGTAGGCTAGTCTTCTGACAATGGTGGGGGATGAAATGGCTTGATGTGACCAGAGATTTCACATTCCATGCCGATGGATGATCCGGAAAAGATCCCTGACAATGGGCAAACCTTACCCTTAAGAATGACTTTATACCATGCTAAAGGACTTTAGCAACAGCATCGAGCCAACAGGGGGCCATGCAGCAGGCTTAAGCATACAGTGGTCTCTTCTTACTCTTATTCACGTTGGAGGTTGATTTGAGTTGGACCTGGAACCAGATGGGCTCGTACAGCTTAGGAGCTCCTGAAAGCGGGATAATTAATATAACACAGTAATGCAAGCCCCAAGTTGGATGTTTAGCAAGTTGCATAGTTAAGCCTTTTCTAGAGGGGATATCTGCTCCAAATCCAGCTAGCTACTGTCATGTGGAGGTACACACCCAGGGTCATCCTGTGGTAGTAATAGAGATAACATTAATAAGCCAGATTATGGGAAATCCATACATGTATGTGAAATCTCTTGGGCTTTCTTAATCTTTTTTTTTCCTTTTTCTTTGAGACAGGGCCTCCCCCCATGTAGTCCCTACCGGCTTGGAGTTTTCTATGTAGACCAGGCTTGCTTCAAACTCATACAGCTCCACCTGCTTCTGCCTCCCTAGTCTTGGGTTAAAGGTGAACCTCCATGCTCAGCTTTTCTTCTTTCTTGCTTTCTTTTTTTCTTCCCTTGGCTTTTTTATATAAAATTCTAATTACTTTTAAATGCATTACATAAGCAAGCTAAGCATGCCTGTTTGTTACCTGCAGGCTTCCGACCACTCACCCCTTCTCTCGGGTATAGTTCAGCAGGTCGTCAGTTATTTGGACAAGTGACTTAGTGTCTCTGAACTGTTTCTCATCTGTGATGTGGAAAATGGGAGCATTAGCTGTGCCTCCTGCCTTGCAAGGTTGCAGTGCAGGTCGGCTAAGATAACACACTTTATAACCACGTGTGGTCCCAGACACACTTCACAAGTGTGAGGCCTGAGTCTCCTCAGGCTCTGGTTTTGGATTCCAGCAGCTAGAGGCCTTGTATGGCTGTCCCAAAGTTGTGACTCTATCTACTGAGGAAGCTATGTCCAGAACTTGTAGGTTTCCTGGCTCCAGATTCCACATACTTCACACAAGCAGCTGGTGGGAAGACGGGCTTCTGCCCAGATGTGGAAGTGCAGAGTGGAGATGCCTCTCCCAACTCACCACAGTCCCTGAGCGGCTGTTTCAGTTAGTCTGACTCCGCCCTCGGGTTCACCCACCCTGTCTGCCCACAAAGGGTGCTTTTCTTCTTAGAAGATCAGAACCAGAGCTGGGGAGATGGCTCAGCCAGTAAAGGGCTTGCACTCTTTCATGGAGACCTGAGTTCAAACCCCAGAACTGGCGCGCGTGTGTGTACTCCAGTCATGGAGTTCAAATCCCAGTACTGGTGGCTGCGGGACTGGGGGTAGAAACAGGAGGATCCCTAGGAGCTCATTGGCCTGGCTGGTCAACCACATTTCAGAACTCCAGGTTCAATGAGAGACCCTAACTCAAACACTAGGATGTAGAGTAACAGACGTAGACACCAAATGTTGACCCAAATGTCAGCCACTGCCCTCCACACATGAGCACATTGACACATGCCACCCACACACATACCTACATACATACATATCTCTCTCACATACACACACATGCACACACGTGAACATAAGACAATTGCCAGAGATACCCTTAAGATGAGCCTGAAGTTTGAGTTTCAGTGGTGACAGGAAGAGCTTAGGGAACAGTGAGGGAAAGACCTGGAGAAGGCAGTGCATAATTAGTGCCAGCCACCACCAACAGCAGAGATACCCTCCAATGAGCTCCCGAGATTCAACCTTCTCTGTCCCTTCAGTGACGTAAAGATGTGTCTTTCCTGGCTGCTTTCTTTCAAGGTCTTGGCTGATTTTATGGGGAGAATAGATGAGCTGTGTGACGAAGGAGGCCGCATCAAAGACTTGTACAGTGAGCTGAACAAATGGTCCTTTGAAAGTAAGTTGACTTTGTAGTCTTGTTCGTTTAAGTTTGCAAGGGATCTGGGGAGTAAAACTGAGCTCTTCTTACACTTCCATAATGATAGATTATCAGCAACTCTGACTAAACCATACAAACCCATTTTAGTTATGACTTGTAAAATAGGTTGTTTATGAAGTCATCCAACAAGCATTTATTAAACAAATCCTATATGCCAGGCACTGTTAAGTACTAGGGACACGGCGAGGGACAAAGTGGACCGTGTCTTTGGCTTCACAACCTACAGTTCCAGAGTGACAGATCCAGGACATTTAAAGGACTAAAGAACAGACATGTGGGCCTCGCATGGACCTTCCTGAGGGGAGTCCTCTCCACTAAGCAGACGAAAGTCAGGAAAAGAGGACGCTGGAAAGGCCTCTTTGGATGAGAGCTCCAGACAGTGGAGTCGGGAGTGTAAAGCCCCCACCCAGGCACAAGAGTGAAGGATGTTCTTAGCGTGTTGGCTGGAGTCAAAGCAACAGCAGCTGCCCCTCCCTTGCCTCTGCACTCTACGCAGAGACAACAGGGAACCCGGGAGATAAAAATAGACTACTCTGCTGCCTTTGCATCAAGAGACCTCAGAGAGTGCTGAGGAAGTAACTGAGCAGGTAAAGGTCTGCGTGCAAGCCTGAAGACCTGAGTTCAAATCTCCAGAACTCACACCAAGTCAGACACAGGAGCACAAGTCTGTGATCCCAGTGCTCCTGTGGCAAGATGAGAGGCAGGGGGAAGGGAATCCCGGGAAGCTCCCAGGCCAGCTAGACTGGTGTAAGAAATCACAATCCATAAGAGACTCTGTCTCCAACAACGTAGAAGGAAGGACCAACATCAAGGTTGTCCTCTAATATCCACGTGCTCAGTGTGGGGGGCACATATGCATCTATAATCTCACACTTTACACAGGCACACACACATACACACACACACACACACACACACAGAGAGAGAGAGAGAGAGAGAGAGAGAGATCTAAAAAGTCAAAAGAGTAGATTGGTTGATTGGTGTGGTAGCTCATGCCTCTAGTCCTAGCATTGAGGAAACTGGGGCAGGAAGATGGACATGAACTCAAGGCTAGCCTGGGCTACACAGCAATATCCTGTCTCAAAAATAGGGGGAAAGTTTATTTTCCTTTATCAAAAAATGGGTCACATAGCTACTGAAGCTGTCCTGGGGCCTCAGGATTACTATCAGAATTCCAGATCCACCTTGATTTCTTGCCTATAGACCTGATTTCTTACCTGGATGCTCTGGATAAAACTGGAGTCGTCTTAGGGAAAAAGCGTTGTACAAGTCAGGGGTAAACTGGGGTAAGAGCAAGAGGAGAGCTGACCTTGTACAAACAGCAGCTGCGTTTGCGCAGGCGTACAAACTTTGTGGCATGAGTTTGCAGTGTGCACCCAAAATAATGCCCACAATTGGGAAAGCAGCACTTTCTGACTGAATCCACCTCCCTGCCTTGTCTTCAAAACCACAGAGAAGTGTGAGTGGGTCAGAACTGCTATGTCCATGGTGCCATTCTCTGCTGATAAGCTCAAAACCCTGTGATCTTAAGTAACTTTCCCAGAGAGGATCAACTAGTTATTAAACCTAGGTGTTCATGAATAAGGAAGTTTGATGTTGATTTTACTGTAGTTTTTGTGAGTGGTCATTTTCTAAACGTTCTTTACCCATTCATGACTCTTCCTATACAGGATTTTCCATGACCACTTAAAGCCTTTGTATTTAGTAGACAGTCAGGGAACATTCCCAATCACTGATCAAAGTTTACCTTGAAGGGAAACAGTAACGCCTCGTAACTTTAAGATGAGCTTCACAATTGTGTGCACGGCGGTGAGAATAAGTGATGGACACTGCTTCACAGTCAGGGGACGTCCCAGAGCTGTGCCACAGGCTCCTGGTGGTACCCAAGTCAGGCCTTGTGGGATAAAAAGGCTACTGAAAGCTTAAACAGGATGCATTCAGTCAGGAACGTTAGCAGTTACAGAAGGTACCCTTTAAGACAAGTGGGGGGCTTTCTAAACAACCACATAGTGGATCTAGTAAAGAACGGGTCAAGCTCTCAGGGACATTAGTAATGTATCATGGTCATGTAGGACAACATCGTCATTCTTAGATTAATGCTATGGTACAGATGCAAAGCATCATGGAACTAAACACTGTTGCAGATGCTGCCACCCACACCAACCCATATACATCCCTGTGTGGACACACAGTCAAGGAGAAAGTAATTAAAACAACATGTTCGATCATCACATCTAATTCAGGGGACATGGGTATCCTATAATTCAAATATTCTCTATGTAAAAGGGTTTAAAGACTAAGGAATCTTATTTGAAAATAGGTTGAACCTAGGAAACATTATTAAATGGAAAACAGAACAGAGAAACGCTTGTCCTGTGCTGGTCCAGTACCTGGCAGATACGGGAACTTAGTCCCTAGCTCATCTCTTTCCAGCCCTTTTTCTCATGGCTACTTCTGTATCCTGTGTTTGGCAGCAGAAGCCAATAACTACTCCAATAGCATGAATCAAAGCAGTGCAGGGCTCTGAGCCAGTGATACACCTCTGTCCTCACCT